GGAGAGACCTAGGATACCAAAAATAAATATGAACCATGAAAATATAATGCAGGCATTGGGCGCCACTTAAGCCGCCAAGGGTGAAGCTGAATCAAATTTCTTGCCTTGTCAATGTCAAATTCAAAGGGCAACGACGCGTCAAATTCCAAAGCGCCTTGGCATTCCTTTTAATTTGCCACTTCCAAAGCAAGAAAATGAAGCAAAGCACTGAATGTGTTTTGGCTTCAATTTTTGAAATCTTCTTTCCAACTCACCTGAACACCAGCATAACCCTTGGGCGCCAAGAATTTTCACACTCAGCCGCAATATCATCCCATTTCCATTCGAACAAATGGACAATGGTGCTACGGCCCGCAGCATAGTTTGATTGATTGACCCCAAGCCAATTGGCTGGATATGGCCAAGAGCAAAGCAACGCTCACGTTGATTTTAGTTAAAAACATTTTAACGTTTCGAACAGAAATGTCTTACTAACGTGTGTTCCGTTAGCCAACTGGTATTTATACTCCCCCTCTGTGTCTCTCCTACACTCTTTGCTCTATGGGTTATGGGGCTTGCAGTTCACTCTCTCAAATATTCCAGAAATCGACAGTTAAGAATTGTTCGATTGATTTGTGACCATATGTTTTATCAGCATTCGCTAAAGTGCAAAAATTATAACACTCCCCCGTTTAAGGTTGAAGGGGGAGATATCCAAACAGCTGCGTCACTACTACTGCTTCTCTCTTATCGCGATTCGAGCTTCTGGGGTACGCAATGGATGGATGTGACTTTACCTTCCTGAGATAAGATAGAACCAGCAAAAGGGTACATAAGTTTGTGTTTTGACTGGACTGGCAAATGTCGGACAGATAGGCAAATGTCCAAGTACTGCAGTTGTTGTAAATTTGCAAAAAAGCAAATTACTAAGCCTCTATAAATGTCAATTGTTTTGATGTTTGAAATCGTGCTCGATATGAGATTCTAAATTTATTCCAACATAATCTTTGATGAGATTTATTAGATTATAAACTGGGGAGGGGACATAATTTATGATCCGAAATGAAGTGGCACGAGTATTTAATTATGAGTGATTTCTTTTTATTTTCGATATGACTGAAGTACTTTTTAGATTAGGTATTGATTGTGAAATATTTAGCCAGTTGTAGCTGGTTTCTGGACATTTAGAGCATGTTTTGTTTTTTGAAAATTTGACTATTTTATTGGTACAGAAGAAGTAGGCCAATGTTATCGATTTCAAAGAAAATCGGGATGTGATTTCCATTTTATGAAATTATGAATATTCAAAATCTTTACCAGGAGATATGGACCACGTCACAATAATTCAAGCCAATGACTTGGTCAAAATATTTCCATTATTTTTATGAGTTACCGCCTGCGGAGCATTTTTCGTCCATACGTAAATATACACTATATGCGTCGAAATATTTGGAGCGATATCTCAAAAACTGTTGAGTTATGGTAAATATATTGAAAGGTGACCCTAATCGTTTTAGTAGCTTGAATATTTTTCCTCAATACACTATATACCAATTCTTATTGTTTTTTAGAAATAATAGCCTTTAAACTTCCTATGGTAGTTTGCACATTATGCAATATTGCGCATACAATTTTGGTCTAATATCTCGAAAACCATTGAGTTATAGTAAAGCGTTTGAAAGATGGTTCTTATGATTATGGCAAGACGAACATTTTTCCCAAAGACATGATCAATAAATTTCTAATATTTTCATGAGTTACGGTTTGTGGAACATTGTGCACAGAGATGCACATTTTTCGTTTATGCGTCGAAATATTGGTAGCGGTATCTCGAAAACCGTTGAGTTATGAGAAAAAAATTGAGAGATGACTTTAGGTATTTCTATACCAGGAATATTTTCTTCAATGACACTATATACAAATTCTTATTAGTTTTAGAAATAACACACTTTGAATTTTCTATAATAGTTTTCCACATAAAGTAATTTTGCGCATACAATATTGGCGTAATATCTCGAATATCATTGAGTTTTGAGGAAAGTTTCTAGGGAAGACTCTTATTATTTCAGCACGACTAACATTTTTGCCGAAGACGTGATCCACAAATTTCTAATATTTCTATGCGTTACTGCATGTGGAACATTGTTTATAAATATGTTATATATTATATTTTGCGTCAAATATTGGGAGCGATATCTCGAAAACTATTTAGTAGTGATTAAAGTTTTGAGAGGTAAGTATAGGTATTTCTGCACCAGGATTATTTTCTCCAAAGACACTACATAAAAATTCTTATTAGTTTTATAGGTTTTACACATGAAGCAATATTGCGCATACAACTTTGGCAAAATATATCGAAAACCATTGAGTTTTGGTGAAGATTTCCAAGAAAGACTCTTGGTTTTTTCGATCGAAGAACATCTTTGCCGAAGACATGATTTTCAAATTCCGATTATTTTTACGAATTACAACTTACGGAACATTGTGCGAACATATTACATTTTTTAATTTATGGGTCAAAATATTGGTAGCGATATCTCGAAAACTGTTGAGTTATGATAAAAGTTTTGAGAGATAACCTGGGGTATTTCTGTACCAGGAATATTTTCTCCAAAGACACTATATAAAATTCACATTAGTTTTATAAATAAAAGCCTTCGCATGTTAATGTTAGATGTTTTAAAATAAAATCCAGGGCTAATTTTTGGAAATAACCGTTTATTTCAAGAACATCTTTCTCTCTCTTTACAATTTCGAATTGACATGAATGGCCAAGACACCATCTTCCTCGGACTTGCGGATGGTAATGGTGGCACGACCATCAGAACCAACCACAACCGATTTACCAGTACAGCTGGAACCAGATTTCATACCCGAAATAACATCACAATAAGTACCGGCAGGCAAGCAGGTCTGCAACGAGGTGCTCATGTCATACGAATCGCCGTTCAAGGCAATGAACCCTTATTGCCGCGACAGAAAGCAATTTGATTGCTGCCATTATCCCACCAATTTTGAAGGGCTGCAGTGCCGACCACATTACGGAAGCCGACCATGTTGTAGATTTGACGCCAACGATGTTCACAACCCAGCCACCGCTGCAAGAGTTATCCGAATTGAAGGTGGGCGAACGAATGTTGGTACCATCGGTAGTGGGTGGACCTTGATCGGTATTGTCGAAGGCAAACGAAGACATAACACGGGTAATACCGAAGGGATGAGCCAACATAAAGGCATTGGCCATTTTATATTGTTTGGAATTTTTATAGGTCAAAATATTAGCACCGCCAGCACCATGGCCACGTTGATTGTCGTGATTATCGACAAAGACCAAAGAACGATCGGAGGGCATGAAACCCCAAGCAGTACCCCAGTTATTCAAGTAGCGCATTTGATCCTTGCCACGGAATACCTTGCCAATTGAGTCAGAGTGTCTGAATTCGGTGACGGTACCCAAATCGGTGTATTCATACTTGGAGATGGCTTCACCACCCATATCGATGACTTCCTGGACAATGAAGGGACGAGTGTTGGCAGCAAAGCCATGAGCAGTGTTTAAGTTGTTCAAACGGGAGTAGATAACCTGTGGAAAGAGATGGATAAAAATAAATTAAAAATAGTTTCATTCATAAAAGTTTGGTACAAAAAGGGGTGATTGGAAATGGAATCCTTGGAAGATAAGGACGTATTTTCGTAATTTATCAGAGGATATTGATATCAAAAGTCCTCAATTTTTGTTTGGCAACATTGTATAAGAAATTCAGAATTTACTCCAAAAAGTTTTTGTTCGTTTTAAAAAATGGGAATTTAATATCCCGATATTTAGCTTTATATCTCTGGAACCAAAGAGTTATAGGGATTATATTTATGGTCGAAACGAAACTCTATTCTACGAAGAACAAATTTCCCAAAGGCACACTTAACAAAATCCCTGCAAATAAAAGAGATTAAGCTTTCAATCTGAGTTCACACATTTACCAAGGTTGCGCACGCAACATTGGCGTAATATCTCGAAAGCCATGGAGTTATGGTGAAAGTTTTGAAGGACGAATCTTAGTGTTTTTGCACGAGGAATGTTTTTGCGAAGACATGATCCACAAATTTCTATTAATTTTATGCGATACAACTTGTAGAACATTTTTCATACACATGCAAAATTTTAGTTTTTGCGTCGAAATATTGGGAGCGATATCTCGAAAACTGTTGAGTTATGGTAAAATTTTGAGAGGTAACCTTAACTATTTTTGTACCAGGAACATTTTTCCTAAACACATTATGTACCCATTCTTAACATTTTCAGAATTAATAGCCGATAAACTTCCTATGGTAGTTTGTACATTAAGCAATGTTGCGCATACAACTTTGGTGTAATATCTCGAAAACCACTGAGTTATGGTAAAAGCTTTAAGGGAAGACTCTTCTCATTTTTTCACGAAAAACATCTTTGCCAAAGACATGATTCATAAATTTCCAATATTTTAATGCGTTACCGCATGCGCAACATTAGTCGTACCATGAATATTTTTAAATTTTTGCGTCGATATATTGGGAGCAATATCTCAAAATTGTTGAGCTGAGGTAAAAGTTTTGTGAGACAATCCCAGTCAATTTTGTACCAGGAACCCTTTTCCCAAAGACACTATACTAAGATTCGTATGACTTTTTGAAATAAGAGCCTTCAAATGGGCTGATGTGGTTTTGCACATGAAGCAATATAATTCATACAAATTTAGCGTGATATCTCGAAAACCATTGAGTTTTGGTAAAAGTTTTGAAAGAAGACACTTGCTATTTGTACACGGTTAGCATTTTTGCCAAAGACATGATCCGTAAATTTCTAATATTTATATGGGATACGGCATGCAGAAGATTGTTCACATATTATCAAATTTTTCATTTATGCGTCGTATTATTGGGAGCGATATCTCGGAAACTGTTGAGTTTCTTTAAAACTATTAAAGGGAAACCTTTGTTATTGTTGTATGAAGAACATTTTATCTGAAGATACTATCAACAAATTCCCATAATTTTCAGGGATAACAGACCCTCAATCACCCCCTGAAATAAAAAAATTTCTTCTCTCAACTCACCTTCAAATCAGCTGGCCACATATGTTTGGCAGCATCGACACGGAAACCCGCAACACCAATGGAAATCAGCTTATTCATGAATTCGACAATACGATCGCGTACCCATGAATTGCTTTGATCCAAATCCTTCAAACCGACCAATTCACAGTTGCGAACCTGGTTGACATCATTGTAGTTTTTGATGCCGCATGTGGCATGGAAATCACTTGCCGAATAGGGAACAGCAGGGAAACTCTTCGAATTGGGATCAGCCTTAGAGCCACCGGTACCCACAACGCTGGCATGACTGGCGGTCATGTGATTCAAAATAATATCAACATAGATGCGTACACCGACATTGTTGCAGCGTTTCACCATGCTGGTGAATTGGGCTTCGTTGCCGGACGGGTGGTCATGAGATAGGAAATGGGTTGGTAACGTTCCCACCATGGGCGATTGGCAACCACGGACATTTCGGTGACTGGGGAGACCTAAGAGAATCGGGAGAAAGTATTGAGTCAAAAGTTTTGGGAAGAAAATCAAATGTAGATGTCGTGCTTTGCAAAAGAGAAATTCATTGCCTATATTTAGGCGTTGTAATGATAGGCAAAGTAGAATATCTTCAAGGCAGAACCACGAGAAAACAGAGGAATTTTCAATATTTCCAGGACTAATAAGTCATAACATATAAAATATATTGCGGAACACATTTACTCCTCTAGAAAATCCACTTTTCTGGGGGATTGAATGTATGTTGCCACATAGTTTTAAATTATTGGACTTACTTCTTTAAATAGACTGATAAAGCTTCGTAATAGGGAAGCGTTATTGTGTTTCTGCCTTAGTATTCCGATTGGTTGTAATTTTTTGGAACTTACCTGAACACCAGCAAAACCCTTGGGTCCCAGGAATTTTCACACTCCTTTGCAATATCATCCCATTTCCATTCGAACAAATGGACAATGGTATTGCGACCCGAAGCATAGTTCGGATTAAATTGACCACTAGCCAGCTGGCTAGAAATGGCCAAGAGCAAAACGATGCTCAAATTGATTTTTGTTGAAAACATTTGTGGGCGTTTTTCGACACAATAAATGTCGTACTGATGGAATTTCTAAAAGTTCACAAGCATTTATACTCGTAGCCTCTTCCCATATTTCGCGGCAAGTACAATGTCACAAATTCTCCAGGTTAATTTCTGTCAAAATCGAATTAGGCAAATAAGATTGCATGAGTGATTTGTGATCTGATTTATCGGTTATCAATGACAACAAACAAAAAGTTATGTCCATTTTATGGTCAACTTGCCGATAGAGGTGTGTGGAAGCACGCCCCACAAGAACAACAAAATTTGCTTATCACGGAATCGTTAACTCATAGGGAACCTGTGAAAGTTACTTTATTCACTTTTCTTTGATTAGAAGTTTTGGTTGTATTAAAAAAAATTGGAGAGGTAAGTATGTAAGAAAATGTTGGGCGCCATATTTTGTACACTTTTGAGTTATGACAAAATTATTGCAAAGTGGTCCATAATTGAATTGGGCATGGAAAAAAAAATGCTCCAATTGGACCATTACTTACTTACATATGTGGCTCAACTCAGAACGTTTGTCCCATAGACCGAACTAAGAGTAGAATTCCTATATTTAGCTTCTTCTTCCCAATTTCGAATATTACGGACTTCCATAACTTTTTATAACCTACACCACATAGTGGTAGGGGTATTATGTCCTCCCAATGACGAACCCTATTGAAATTGGTGAGAATTGGTTCCTATAATCGAAGACCCTCGGTTTTTATGGTGACATTAAAAAAAAAATCAGAAATTACTCTAAAAATTGTTTGTTCGTCTTAAGCCAAGAAACATTTTACGAACCGATATTACGCTTCGTATATCTGGAACCAACGAGTTATAGGGAATATATTCAAGATCATAACTAAGGTGTATTCTATAAAAAAATAAATTTCCAAACAAAAATCTTGGAATTAATAGAGATTAAGCTTTCAATCGGAGTTCACACATTTAGCAATATTGCGCATACAACTTTGGCGTAATATCTCGAAAACTATGGAGTTATGGTGAAAGTTTACAAAGAGGACTCTTATTATTTTGCACGAGGAATATTTCTGCCAAAAACATGATCCACAAATTTCTATTAATTTTATGCGATTTCACTTGCAGAACATTTTTCAGACATATGCAAAATTTTAGATTTTGCGTCGAAGTATTGGGAGCGATATCTCGAAAACTATTGAGTTATGGTAAAATTTTTGAGAGGTAACCTTAAATATTTTTGTACCAGGAACATTTTTTCCTGAATACATTATGTACCAATTCTTAATATTTTCAGAATTAATAGCCGATAAACTTCCTATGGTAGTTTGTACATTAAGCAACGTTGTGCATACAACTTTGGTGTAATATCTCGAAAACTATGGAGTTATGGTAAAAGTATTAAAGGAAGACTCTTATCATTTTTACACGACGAACATTTTAGCCAAATACATGATTCAAAAATTTCCAATATTTTAATGCGTTACCGCATGCGCAACATTGTTCGCACCATGAATATTTTTTAATTTTTGCGTCGAAGTATTGGGAGCGATATCTCGAAAACTGTTGAGTTATGGTAAAAATTTTGAGAGGTAATCTTAACTATTTTTGTACCAGGAACATTTTTCCTAAATACATTATGTACCAATTTTTAATATTTTCAAAATCAACAGCCGATAAACTTCCTATGGTAATTTGTATATTAAGCAATGTTGCGCATACAACTTTGGCGTAATATCTCGAAAACCATTGAGTTATATGAAATTTTCCAAACAATATTTTTTTTGGCCCAAGGACGAACCCTATTGAGATTGGTGAGAATTGGTGTTAATTTAGATATAGCTACCATATATATATTTTTATCCGATTTCAGGTTTTTTGTGCGCCAAACTGATATTAGCAGTCCAAATGACCTGCATTTTGGCACATCAAACCGAATTCAGTCTAGAAGCAAGTACATCAAATTTATTGAAAATCGGTTCAGATTTAGCTATAGCTCCCATATATACTTTTCATCCTATTTGGGGGTTAAGGTCCCTCACAGGCGTAATATGCACTTCACAACTATAATATTAGGTAACAGATATCAGATACAGGTCAGAAATAAGGGTTTACAATTTTGTCAAGATCGGTCCAGATTTGGATACGGCTCCCATATATATCTTTATCCGATTTCAGGGTTTTTGTGCACCAAATGGCGAATATAAGCCCAAATAAACTGAATTTTGGCAATTCCGACTGAATTTGTCTTAGAATCAAGTACTTCAAATTTGATGAAAATCGGTGCAGATATAGCTGTGGCTCCCATATATCTGTTTCATCCGATTTGGGGTTTTAAGTCCCTCACAGGCGTAATATGCACTCCACAACAATGATTTCTGATACCGGGCATCAGATACTGCCCGAAAATGCCTCTGCCAAATATTATCGAGATCATATCAGATTTGTATATGGCTTCGATATACATATGTAATATGTGCCCAAATCGAATTCGATGACTTGGATCTCCATAGACAACATTTGTCATAAGCCATTCCAATATTCAAATGCGAAACTTGAAAAAAATTCGGTGAATAATGTAGCTAAATCATCAAAATAGGAAGTATTATTATATGGAGGTTATACGAAGACGTGGACCTGCATAGACAATTTTCTGTCTTGGACTGTAGTATCAATTACGAACTTCAAATACCAAATTTGAAACAATTCTGGTGAAATAATGTCGCTAAAATCATTCAAAAACCGAATATCGGGGGGTACCGTTGTATGGTGGTTATACGAAGGCGTGGATCTGCACGGACAATTTTCTGTCACAGGCTGTAGTATCCATTACGAACTTCAAATATCAAATTTGAAACATTTTCGGTGAATAATGTCGCTTAAATTACCATTATACCAAAAATAGGGAGGTACCATTACATGGGGGCTATACCAAAACGTGTACCTACATGGCCCATTTTCAATACCAAAAGTCCTGCAAACATAATTTACATTTGAGTAAAATGTTATCAACCTACTTCATTTAGTTCGGAAGCAAGAGTGATTTCCACAGACGGACAAACGGACGGATATCGCCAAATCGACATAGAATTTTATGCTGATCAATAATGTATATACTTTGTGGGGTCTAAAATGGAGGGTATAAAAAATCGAGGACTATATTTTGTCAAGTTTTTATTTATGTAGTTTTGGGCGATGAAACATTTCGCCGAACGTACCAATAACAAATATTAAATATTTATTGGCCCGAATCCTCAAAAATTGAAAAATTTCTTCAATTTGATTTTTTTATTAAAATATTGGGCGCCATATTTCGTTTGGGTCAATATTTCGAAATGAATTTTTCATAAATCTAAATATTTTTATTTTTTTTTAATGACGTCTACTTCAAAATGCCTTGAGGGACCCCCACGGTAGTAAGGGGTTAATTGTGTCACCTCAAATACCCACAATTGGCACAAAATGCAAAATCCATCGATTAGATAGCGCACATTTAAAATTGATTTGTTGCATACTTTAGTTATACGAATGTTGATAGGTAATTTGCGTTTCATTACCCGTGATCACATCGTGATCGAAGGCGTAACCCAATTTTGAGTTAAAATCATTCAAAAAAGGCAAAATGCTATATTTTTAAAAAATTTTCATATTTTTCTTCGATGGAGAACCTGAAAAAAATTGGCAAATTTTACAACGTTTTTTGATATCATAAAGTAAAAAATCGGCCATCGTAGCAGCATTTTTACAGTCTTGTAGGTCCTGCAACATAAATATTTTTTATATTTTCTAAACATTACCCATTTTAGACCGAAAAAAAACTAAACTATAGAAAAGAGATAATAGAGAAATAAGGCTATGTTTATTTTATTTTTTTAATAATATATTTATTTTAATAAGTGTACTGAAAGTCCATTAAAAGCCTAATCAAAATATTTCCCACCTTCTATTTCAATTCACCGAAATATTTTGTCCAGATGTCTTTTGAAATATCAATTCTAACATCATTATCTAATCAAAGAACCTTTTTTTTTAACAAATATACTTATTTTCGCATTCATTATACGCAATAGGTGATAGAGATTAATTAAGGCGTCCCCACCGAGAGTGAAAAAAGTGCAAGCTATTAAATTTTGATTAGATTATTTATATTTTTAATTTATTATTTATTATGATTGAATGAAATTGGTCAGTGAATTCGGTGCATTTGTCCATAACAATAATCGTGATCAGTTCGTGATCGGCAAAGCAATTGGTTTTCGACAAGAAAATCATCTGGCTTTTTTGATCGGGCCCAATGCCACCCACCAACGACCATGCCGACGGAGGAAGACACTATTTAATTTATTACTTTCAATTGTTATTTCTTTTACTTACTAGATAATTTTATGGCTTATACAGGTTCAGTCTCATCTCTAATACCTCAATAAATTTTTGGCTAAAAATATCACATAAAAACCTCATAGGAAAATATAACTGATTATTCGTTTTTGTCGGAGAAAGTTTAAGCGGTTTAATTTTGTGTATTAGGATAGGGAATCAATCCAATCATGAATATCCTCTCGGAATTCTATTCCCATGGATGTCATATTTTTTCAAAAATTTGACTTTTGGTTCATTTATAAAAGTTGCGTAATGGTATGAGAATATTTTTATACCCTCCACCTTGGAAAGGAGGGCATATTAACTTTGTCATTCCGTTTGTAACATCCTTAAATATTCGTCTTAGACCCCATAAAGTATATATATTCATAATCAGCATAAAATTCTAAGTCGATTTAACGATGTCCATCTGTCTGTCTGTCCGTCTGTCTGTTGAAATCACGATACAGCCCACATTATTTGACGTAGAGCGCCAAAATTTAGCAGAGCTATTTGCATTGTGTCTGGGATGGTTGGTATTGAAAATGAAATCGGTCCACGTTCTGGTATAGTCCCCATATAACGGTACCTCCCGATATTCGGTATTTTGATGATTTATGCCACATTTTTTCACGGATTTGTCTGGAAATTGGTATTTGTAGATCATAACGGGTCCCTGAGCGTGTGGCAAAACATTGCATGTATAGGTCCACGTTGTGGTATAGCCCCCATATAAAGGTACCTCCCGATATTCGATATTTTAGTTTTTTTTGCCACATTTATTC